CTGAATCTCAAGTATTGCATGATCTAGATTGTCATTTGAGACTTGTGAACCAGCAACAATCTAACTGCGTCCAGAGTAAAAAGGTGGTGTCAAGTGGGTTGACTCGGCACTTTCCACGCAACGCTGTCTTCAGTGTTTAGAACTATCAGGATTAGAAGCATATAAATGTATTAACATAAAAATGCAACCATCAATTAATGTAATAGATGGCAACGACTAGATGAGACAGACATTTTAGCTGCGCTAGCGGTATCGATCTTGTAAGAGCATTGATTAAGGTAAAGGAAACTGAATCGTATAACTACCTTCATCGATAGTTTGGGGTAGCCTGCCCAATCGTTCAGGGTAGTTCTAATGCTTCCCCTAATTCCCAGCATTGGACAAGGGTCACTGCAAGATCCCTTGATCCTTAGTTTTGCCAGGTGTACCGCTTCCATGTCACCTCATTCATAATTATGCACGGGCAACAAGAGTATACTGATAACCTTTAGAAGGGCTGTACCGCACTGGACCAAAGCTGATCTATTTCTATATCTATTACGCGGCATCTATACGAGCAATATTTTTATAGCAATATCTAGCTGTAAGTATGGTAACTATAGCCATACCATGACCATATTGAAGTATATTGCCCAGCTACATATATACCTCAACTATGTCAGCTGTATCTCAGCTGTACCTTAGCAATATTATTTGAAATGTCTAGACACATACCTTTCAGAATTTACCATCAGAAGAGCTACAGAATCAGACAAGAATAGCTGACGAAATTTTACTAATCGCGGCAGCTCACATTACATACATTACATCAAGGCCAAGGTTCTCAATCGCTGGTTAACTTTCAAACTTGGTAACCCTAACTTGTAAGTCGACTAGAAGTTGCCCATAAATTCGTTTCTCAGGTTTTGCTCAGCCAAACCGTAACTGTTGAGCTTGAGGTTCGGAACGCGTATCTAGTAGTTCAAAAGTCTATAAATGTACATCTTTCGGAAATTATAATACTCAACGCTACCTCTTTAAGAGTTGGCAGTATTTATGGTGTCAATGTCAAAGTATGTATAAGCCCAAAAATACGCATGTGACTGGTATATCATGGTAGGTACATAATTTAATGTACTCTCTTGATTTTTGTAGCTCTACACGGAGAGCGCAAAAGTGATGTCAGAATCGCAGGTGCGACTCTTTTACCACGTTTACAGAGTTTGTTGGCTGCATCGAATATGGGTGCCCCGAGAGAGTGATCATTCAGGAGCGACTGCAGTCTTCACTTCTTCGTCGGATCTCACGTGTTGGTCTTTAATTTTTGTTTGGACTTATAGTTATTCATCCGCGTTTCGTGGACGGACACAAGTCGATCTTAGGCGCTGTTAGATTGGGACTACTTTTTCCTTGGTACGTTAATAAAACCAGAACCAAAATACTATTTTTACTCTTGAGGATGGAGTAAAGGATTATTCCCTTTAACAGAGACGCAATACGTATACTAAGTGACATATAAATCCGAACACCCAGTTTAAATGGTTTTATTTTAATAAAAGTTGGTGAATGTATTTATCTTACTGTAAATAACAAGTGAAAAAATTTTCAGCCTTATCAGTTGGACATTCCGGTTTTTATACTGCTTTTTTTTAATTCACTAACGCTCTAAAAATGAATATTTCAGCCGCAGTAAAGTATCAACGTTGGCGGATTTTGCTTCTTGACATCCTTTACGATCGGTTACGATGCCTAGAGTACGGAGACCTGTACGATTTCGTCAACTTAGTGAGTTTGGTAGGGGCCGTATAGTGGGACTTCGGGAAGCTGGACTTTCTTTTCGGGCAATCGCAGTTAGAGTGCAAAGAAGTGTGTTTAGGTGTTGTCAGGCATGGCTTCGAGAATGCCGTCCGCAAAGAGCAAGGGGCACTGGACGCCGCCGTAGAACAACACACCGTGAAGATCGCCGCCTAAGATTATTGGCCTTAAGGGACCGTTTCTCCACTACCAGGTCCATTGCAAATGAATGGTTTGCAGAACACGGAAGACCTATTGACATGCGAAGTGTTTACCGACGAATGAGAAGTTTTGGCTTGTTTTCATACACTGGATCCTCCCTTTAACTCGAGAACACCGACGTAATCGCCTTGAGTGGTGCAGACAACGGTCGCTCTGGGATCAGGAATGGAACAGTATTGTCTTTAGTGACGAGTCTCGATTTTGTTTAGGCATGCACGATGGTCGTGCCAGGGTTAGAAGGCGACGTGGTGAAAGGAGGAATCCACAGTTTTTTGTTGAAAGACATGTTCATCACACTGTTGGAGTTATGGTTTGGGGTGCTATAGCTTATGGTTCCAGGTCACCTTTAATCTTCATCAGAGGTAACATGAACGCGCAGCGTTATATCCACAAAGTTCTAGAACCCCATCTTTTACCCTATCTTGACACCCTGGCAGATCCAACTTTCCAACAAGATAATGCCCGACCACATGTTGCAAGAATCACAATAGACTTCTTTCAACATAATGATGTCACATTGTTACCATGGCCACCAAGATATTCCGACTTTATCATTTACTTATTATGCTTCATTAAGTACTTATACAAAATTTTGTTAAAATAAAACCATTTAAACTGGGTGTTCGGATTTATATGTCACTTAGTATATATAATAGCTCGACCATACGAAAAACATTGCCGTACGTTGTTGGCTACAGTATTGATGCTAGATAGTGCAGTAAAAACATTGCCCGTTTAGAAATGCGATTAGCAATAGGCAGACATTTCGTTGTGCATGAGGTTGAGTATTCAACATTATACTAGCTTGTACCAGATATTCGTTACACCTCTACTAACGTTATCTACTGAGTTCTGTTAATAAAGTACAGACTGTTACCAATAATTTATAATAGTAAAAGTAATACAGTCAAATTGAATTAGATTAGATTCACAAGACCTCCGCAAATAATCGTTAATTGCACCATCATACCAGTGGAGTCAAACGCTAAATATTCAGACATGACCTTTGACACCAGACTCAAGTGAGAGCACCATAGCAATAAAGAGGGAGAAACTGAACCTCCCACACGAGCAATATTACTGACTATTGGAACGACCATCAAAGCTATCGCTCCATAACAGAGTCATGATCTATAATCAAATCTTAAAACTAGTGTGGCTCTATGGTTGTCAACTATGGGGCTGCTCCAAGAGCTCCAACATCGAAATTATACAAAGATTCCCAAGTTCCCTAATACGTATAGATACATTCATCGCAACCTGAATATCCCTCTGGTGATCGACCAGATCAAGGAAGTAGCACACAGCCATGAAGAAAGGCTGCAACAACACCCCTATGCAGAAACTTTTCAGCTGCTGGATAACTACAATACCATATGAACGTGTGTAGTGTTTTCTTTCTCAAGCAGAGCATGTGCGCAAGTTCCTAGTGATAGTACTAACTATACGTTAAGATCATCTAAATAACATCAATGAGCCGTATTCATACTATTGAAGCTTATCCTTGGAAGCATAAGATAAAAATATAAGGTCTTGCTTCTGAGAAAAAGGTAGAAGTATAAGCATATCCTTGTTTTCATATTCATAATGATTAGCTTATACTGGCGAGGATATCCTCCAAGAAGAAGTAAAGTGTTGACTGGTATTTGTATCTTGAGCGACATGTCCTGACTTATTCCAGCATGTAGTTGACGTGGGAGTTCGTTCACTCAGCATCACTGACAGTTGTACTCCAGGGCTTACACAGACCGTTTCGTATTTTTACTGGATACAGTTTTTTATCAAATTAATAAGCATGTCATTCTAAAGTGATGAGGAAACTATAAAAAATAAAGGGAACGACCTGCAGTTCATCGAAGATGAAATTGCCGTTGCTCCCATTATTTTGCAAAAGTCACAAGTTACAAAAATAAAAATGGACGATGCCTTGAAGAAGATGATGAAAAAATACTAATCAACATTCGGTAAACCACTAAAGGCTTATTAAAAAAAATCAACAACATGAAATCAAGATTGAAGAAAAAAACAGATTTAAAAAAAACTGGTAATAAAGCAATTAAATTGTTAGATTGGAAAAGAAAGTTGCTGAAAGCTATGGAAGGTGACTGTAATCCTAAAATTGGGAAAATTAGAGGTGCCATTCAGGTTGGTAGTGTTCAAGAAGAAGGAAGTGAACTATATACCGAGCGCAGTGAGCAAACAGTTAGTATTACAGCGCCAGCAATTCAGAAGATATTGCCACCAAAAAGAAAATTAGCAACAGAGAAATACGAAACTGAGGAAACCAAAGGGTTAACTACAAAAGAACTGCAACGTCTAGTGCTATTACAGCAGTACCAAACAAAAAGGAACTTATTATAACTTATAAATACACTTTAATCAGTAAAACTATTAATTATAATACTCAAGTTTCTTCTTATTTGTTGACCTAGTTGCCGGAGAGGAAGTTCGTCATTCTCATGATTTCTTTCATCTTCATCTGGGTCTTGTTCAACTAACTCAAAGTCAGGATCGCCCAAGCTCTTCGCAACATTGTGGAGTACAATACAAGCAATAATTATTGTCGGCACATTTTCCAACTTTACACGGCAAACATACTGTAGGATAGGAAACCGGCGTTTCAGTTGGCCGAAACAGCGTTCAATTATAACTTTTTCTTGTTTTAAAAGCATATTATAATTTATTTCTGTACCTGGAGTAGGATTTCTGAAGGGATTCATAAGGCATGGCTCAATACCATAACCGCCATCATCAAGTTTGCTTTATTTATTAGTTGTGATCTAGTCTGTGTATTTTTCTATATTCTGCAATCATGCACTGATCCAGGCCAACTGACATCAATACTTGTGAACATCTCTCTGGCATGACAAGTGGCTTACACATTTAAATTAGGTTTCCCTTTTCGGTTGATATACTCATCTCCATGGCGATTTGGTTTCAGGATTCCTATATGTGTACAATCAATTACACCAATTGCTGTCGGAAAGTTATACATGCTTTGCAATATCCGCTTGGCCTCCATCAGTTCATGGAAACTTGATCCATTCGTTCGACTGTGCAACTATGCTGTTCACAACTCTATCCACAGGCTGAGATACCATTGCTTGACTAACACCAAGTTCCTGACCAATACCTTGTTGATATCCAGGGTCACCGAGATAGCGTAGACATATCTTCATTTTATGAATACATGAATGTGCTCCTCCTCGAGTTTTCTCATTCTCAACTAAAAATCTGTCCGCAAGCCATTGTACATTTGCTTTGTCGAACCGATATAATTATTTGAAGCCACGACCAAGTGAAGGTAACGAGGTTTATACGTTTTAACATCCCTAACATCCACAATTTCCGCCATCATCATTTGACCACGTTTCGTTACAAAGTTGAGCCTGCTACTGACCACACTCACACAATTTTTGAAGGATATGCTTCCGATGTCAAGTATTAGGTGAAGATTATGAGTATCCTTTAACATATGTCACTGCTTTGAAGGATATGCTTATACTCAAAAAGCAAAAGCACTTACTTCAAATTATTATAAATACCATCTGGAGGATTTCCTTCAAAATTTACAAGTACAGGGATATCCTTTGTTTTATGAATACGGCTCAATGTATCACATCTAGTGATAAGTATCAGTTGCAAGAAAACACCTGAAAATTCATGGTTGATCATATTGATCGGTTTTAATATTCTGGCATCAAAACCACTGTAAAAACAGAAAGCCTCTACTGATAACTATACATATGCTTGCTAAAGTTTTCCACGCATTTTCAGAACGTATGAAATTTCAACTGGAGCATAAACAGAACACGAGTAACTCAAGAAAGTTTGACATAGGAGTTAGCTTTCATTAGAAGCAGCTTAAGAGATTATGACTTTAAGTACTCGGGAAAGCAGTTAATGGAACTCTATATGAAACAAATTCTACTAAGCCCTGTGGCATTACTCCGAAGGCAACTAAATAACATCGAGTGGCAAGTAATCCTTCGTGAGAAATTAATGGCAAGCAATTTAGTTTGGCGGTAGCTACTCGTATGTAGGTAATAGGTATGTATGTGTATGCAGCTAGCTACATATACCTGTGGGTCTACATGTACGTATGATAACTGCACGTATGTTGCAGCTAATTTCCTAAATTGGATGAGCTCTCGATTAACCGATTAACGCCGGCATCAAAGCTGCATGGTAAATCATTCAGGGCATATTCAATATTATACCATTGATGAACGTATTCTACTTGAAAATAGCCAACTTAATACTATGTTCCAAAATTATCCGGTATGAATTATCATGGCATCATCTCTGAGAATTTGTCATAGCTATATTTTTCCTCTCCGTAATAATTAGAAATGTTCTTTGAAAAGGATATTGTCTCATAAATGTCACTGTAACCAGCTATATGAGCATATAGCTAGCTACAGAGAATAGTTACTGTCTGTTTTCGGCAACGAAGCGCCACATCAGTTGGCAATTTCCCGTTGGTATGGAGAATTCAAACGTGGACGGGTGAGTCTTAGCGACGATCCCAGGGTGGGTGCACCAAAAACGTCACCCAGGAAAACGTCGATGATGTGCGCAAACTCATCATTGAAGATAGACATGTGACATATCGCGAGATTGAGGCGTTCTTGAAAATCTCAAAGACCTCAATCTCAAAAAATGGGTACAGCATTGTTAGTGGTGATGAATCGTGGATTTACTGTTATGAACCAGAAAATAAACGACAGTCGGCTGTTTTGGTGTTCCAAGGTGAAGAAAAGCCAACAAAAGTCATCCGTTCCCGAAGTGTTTCGAAACAGATGGACGCGACATTTGTGTCAAAAGCGGGTCATATTGCAACAATTCCTTTTAGTGAGAAAAGAACTGTTACTGGGGATTGGTAACCACCATTTGCTTGCCAAAAGTCATCACCGAGCTTCTAAAAATCAATCCCGAAAGAAGAATCATCCTCCACCAAGACAATGCAAGCCCGCACACTGCCCCAGAAACAAGGCAGTTTTAGCGGAAAAAAACGTGGAATTATTGGACCATCCTTCATATAGTCCGATCTATGTCCTAACGATTTCTTTACTTTCCCGAAAATTAAAAACAGACTGCGCGGTCAAAGGTTCCAGTCACCAGAAGAAGCAGTTGACGCATTCAAAAATGCCGTTTTGGATCTGCCAGCAAACGAGTGGAATAAGTGCTTCGAAAATTGGTTCGAGCGCATGCAGATGTGTATTAATCTTGGAGAATACTTCGAAAAACAATAAAGTCATTTAAAACTACCTATCGTGTTGTTTTATTTCCATATGCAAAACTTAAAAGACACCCCTCGTATCCTAATACTTATTTGTTGAGCGGGTGCATGATTCCTGGACGCCATTTTGGAACATGTTTCAAATGGAAAGGCGAGTCGTGTGATATCTCAGATTAAAGCTCTTTATGAAAACTGTATGTCCCCAAGATGTAAAATCACTATCTTTGGAGATCACGGAATAGCAGGCTACCAAATTTGAGCTACTTCGTACATTGAGTCGATCAAACCTCAACATCCAGTCATAAAAACGTTATAGTGTGTTATATCAGCCTTCTTGGAAAGGTCTATCCGAATATGTTATGAAATATGGATCATTTCATTCTAAAAAAAAATATAAATATCTGTGATTTTTTTGAGTGAATGTTTCCATATTTTATTTCACATTCAGAACGATATTTTCAAATGAAGATAATTGCTATAACGTACTATAACGTTTTGATTCAATGTACAAAAACGCTCAGCTTGACAACCTATCATTGCGAGATTTTTAAAGACAGTGATTTTATATCTAGTAAAAGTACTCTGGATGAGCTTTGAGACACCACACGACCCCCTATTCTATTTAAAGAAACTGTTCTAGGATGGCGCTCAGCCACCATTTCAAAATTTGAATTTTCTACAGCGCCACAGCGCCATCTAACCTTTTCAAAGCAGATTTCTAATTATAGCGAAGAGGAGAAGCACAGCTATGACAACTTATCATAGATCACACCAGGATATCTCATTTTATCTCGGATAATTTCTTGGACGATGGAATTCAGTATTACGTTGGATATCATCAGATAGAATACTTTATCCGATAGTAATACTAATGGCGGTGTTTCATAAATATACCATTCAATAGGCTGCATTGATAAATTTTGTTTTAACATGTCAATTCTGTCCTGTTTGCTAACACAGTATAGCACAAAAATCAACATAACTAAGGGAGGGGGTTAACAGGCGAATGACCTGGTACTGAAAATATTTGTTTCTTATGTATAAAGTTGTAGACGGATTGCTATTGAACAAAATACAATAACTACAAGTGCTCTAAAGATGCTAAACATTTTTGGAACAAATAAAGTAAATATACATATTTGAAATAACCCATGCAAGCACTAGATACAAAAACAGTATCAATAAAATAATCTATAAAGAGAAGTGAGGAAACTGAAACATACGGGGCGATCCACAAGTCGTGACCAAAAATTAAACATAATACACAGGACCGAAGTCCAAGGGGGGTCTTCTACTTAACAGTCTTTCCTCAGGGGCTTCATTAGAAAGATACGGGGTGTTAAAGTTCAAAAATATAAAACATTTTCTTTCAATATCTTCAACATCGTCAACTGGAATGAACTCAAATTTGCTATGTGGGTTTACCTAAGTATTTTCCACATTCTAAAGTTTTTACTTGAAATTTACGTGCAATATTAGCGGAGATATAAGAAGTGGCATTATTCTTTTATTTAATTTGTTACGAATAATTACTCCTGTGTTTTTTATAATAAAAATAAAACAAATTAGATCATTCATGAAGAATCGAGGTCCAATTAGTTTCAAAATAAAATAGGAGGCCTTGATACCAACTTGACGTTTCTTAGGAGATAGTTTGTCAAAGTTATGTGTTATATGGTTGTTATCGTTACTACTACCATTTTTTTTTTTTTTTTTTGTAAATGTAAAGTGAAGAGATCCTTTTTTTTTCATTTTTGCGTGCTGTAAAATAGAATTTAGAAATGATGAGTATGCCAATATTATTTTTGTGTACGGGTTCTATAATGGAAATTCTTTAGCGGCTAACTCGGGAGTATCAACATAGATTTCCTATCAGACGCCAGCCTACCCCAAAGGTTTTTACGCGTTCATTTCTAAGACTTCGGGATATGGAATTGCCAAACTTCCATCGTGTCCGGCATATTGTTCAAGATGAACTAGAAGTGATTAATTTGGCATTGGATGATCCTAGTACTAGGCGGATTGCAGCCCAGTTAGCATGTTCCCAAAATCTTGCGTGGAGAATTTAAAATCGGGAAGTTTTACATCATCACCCTCGGCAAAATGTGCAATGTCTGAAACCCGTCGACAAAGTGCAACGGCGAAGTTTTTGAGAGTGGTTACTGCATATGCTTAATCAAAATGCACAACGTTTAAATGCAAACTCATACTTAGCTTTTCTAGAGAATTACATATAAAATGTGTTAGATGAGCCGTTAGCGACGAGAGTACGAATGTGGTATCGGCACGAGGGTGCTCCACCACATGTTCGTCGTGACATAACCGCATGGTTAAATAATCAATTTAGACAACGATGGATTGGCAGAAACGGGCCCGTATATTGGCCTGCGAGGTCTCCTGATTTGAACCCCCTGGATTTCTTTTTAGGAGGTGCTTTTAAACAACTAGTGTATGCTGAACAAACTAATACTGTTGATTAGTTATAAGAAAGAATAGATAATCCGCTTCATCAAATTCAAGTCTCCTCAAATTTTGAGGAAATACGTCTTTCTTTATTAAACATTTATTGCTTTGATTATCTAATTTGTTGTCTTTTATTTTTACGAAAACTAGAGTAACTATTTGTAGCAAATTAAAGGTGAAATTCCGAAAATTTCGCGTTTCGAAGAAAAAAGAGTGGTGTAGATACTATTTCTATTTTGAAAAATAATGTCACTAGTCCCCTGTATCTCCGCCACTGGTGCAGGTTAATTTTAAGTAAATACTTGTGAATGTGGACAATACTTAGGTAAATCCACAAATTTTAATTAATTCCATTTGACGGCTTTGAAGATATGTAGTAAAAAAATGCTTTTTATTTTTAAACTTCAACACCCCGTATCTTTACGTTACATAGAAGACCCCCTTAAAATGGTCCGGTGTATGATGTTTATTTTTGGTCACGACTTGTGAGTCACCATGTATAAACTGCAATGAAATGGGTCTTCCGGTTCCAACATTTATATTCTGGAGGTTATGTAAGAAGACCAACTAATCGGATTTTTCCAATAGTTACAGTAATTACCCGTCTTCCGATTTAACTGCAAATCAATTTCCCTCGACACTTACTAGATTTTTTATTACGCCAAAAAGCAAAATCTAGATTTTATCACTTTTGCACTGGGGAGGGAGGCGTGTTTTGCGTCACTAAGGCCCGTA